CCTTATCCCAAAGCCTCCGCAGGTGCCTGCAGCCCCGACCACTCCTTCCCAGCACCCCAAGTGCCACCGTCCCCCCGCAATTCCCACAAGGCTGGTGATGCTCCGTCACCTCCAGACATCGCACGTGGAAACGAGGGGAGATGTGAGGCAGCAGCCTGGCTCTACCACTCACCTTCATCACCACTGGGCCATCAGAACCACGTGTGGGGCCACCACGAGATCCTCAGCTGGCCAAGCAGTGTGGGACTCGGGTGGTGACGCACTTCTCTGCTTCACAGCAGGTGAGCCCACCTCTGCTGACACACGGCGTCACCTCCAAGGACGTCCCTGTGGCCACTGGGACTCTGCCAACGCGGCAGCAGAAGGTCCCTGGCAGCATCAGACGTGGCACCAGAGCAGAGCTGGTTGAACGTCAGATCCAGGAGAGCTGGATACAGCCCAGCGCAGCTCCCTCGGGGAGCAGATTTCAGCAGTAAATCCAATTTTGTTTGACGTTAATCCCAGCGTTTCAGTCGCCCCAGACGATCCTCCCAGCGCCAGCTCGACACGCGGGAGCACGGGGGACTGAGAAGCTATTTTCAGTTTTCTGTTTAATTGTTCCCTACGAGGGACTGTCCCCACCTGGCAGGGCCGGAGCTGGCGGGAGGCCTGGGGCACACACGGGGCACAGGGCTCTGCCCCATTTCTGGCACCCACATCACTGATGCCTCCGGGCAGCCGAGTCGCATGAAATACAACTGGAACATTTCAAATTGGTTCTTCAGCAAAAATCCCAGGCCATGGGGTCAGGAGGATGACACCCGCTGACCCCACACCAGCTCACCAATTTAAATGTCACAGGATGAGCTCCTTGCTCCCTTTGGGAAGATAATTCACAGTTTAATACACTTTGTTATCAAGACAGTTTCCTTTTTCAGCCTCAATTCTCTCATTTTTATCCACTTCTCATGGTCTGTCCCCCCCAGTTCCCTGCGAGGGGCTGCGCTGTAACAAGGCTCCTCAGTAAATGTGACGGGCACAGAGAGCAAAAGGCAGAAACCCTCTGGAAAAAACACATCCCACAAAGTCCAACCGGGAACTCAAACAGGCAGCGATGCTGGCGGGGCTGTAAGGGGACAGCGATTAAAGCAGCCAGCAGCCCCAGCTCCCTGCACCCCTGACCTGCTCCCCTGGTGGGACAACCTCAAAATCTCCGGTTCAAGGTGACCCAGGAACAAAACCACACAATCCCAGAATGGCCTAGACTGGAAAAGCCCTTTCAGCTCATCGAGTCCAACCATGAACCCAACACTGACCAGTCCCCTATGACTAACCCATGTCCCTCAGCACTGTGTCTACACGACTCTTCAATCCCTCCAGGGATGGGGACTCCACCACTGCCCTGGGCAACCCCTTCCAATGCCTCAGAACCCTTTCAGCAAAGAAATTCTTTCTCACATCCCATCTCAACTGCCCCGGGCACAACTTGAGGCCGTTTCCTCTTGTCCTGTCCCTTGGGCCTTGCTTGAACAGACCCACCCCCACCTCTCTCCACCCTCCTCCAAGGGACTTGCACAGAGCCAGAAGGTCTCCCCTCAGCCTCCTTTTCTCCAGGCTCAACACCCCCAGTTCCCTCAGCCACAAGGGAACTCAGCACACTTGTGCTCCAGACCCTTCCCCAGCTCCGTTCCCTTCTCTGGACACGCTCCAGCACCTCCATGTCCTTCTTGGACTCAGGGGCCCAACACTGAACCCAGCACTCCAGCTGCAGCCTCCCAGGTTTGCTAGAGCAGGGGCTGATCCCTCCAGCCTCGCAGAGACAAGCTGTGCCACCAACACCTTCCCTGCCTGAAAGGTCACAACTTAAATATTCCAACACCAGCAGCTGTCAAGAGCAGATTGTTTAAAAAATAAAAAAGAAAAGAAAAAGAAAACAGTCCCCCCTTCAAGAAGCTGATCCTCCCACCACTTGCTCCAGTCACTGGAAAACCCAACAGCAGCTCATCCCTGGGCTGCATCCAGCCCACTCACCGAAGACTCTGAGCACCAGCTCTGCTCCCACAGCAGCACCTTCCAAGCACTCCCACCTCCTGCACCCGAGGGGCCCGAGCGGGAAGTTCGGGCAGGGGAGAGAAGAGCCCAGCACTGGGTTGTTTTCTAAATCAATACGATTTTTTCAAATTTATTTTTTAAGAATTACTTCTAATATATCTTTCTCACAGAAGGAGGGTATAGGGAATGTTCTCATTCCATCTGTAAACACTGAAATACAGATCTGGGAAACCAGGGGAGAGACACAAAAAAAGTGCATTTTACAAAATTATCAACTAAAATATATTTTACATGTATTACGTTTCAATTTAAATTCTACCGACTGCATTTTCAGTTTCAAAAAATATTTCCATATCTAATAGATTAAAAAAGCATGAAATATTTTCATTATGGATAAGACATTTCAATTCATTTACATGCTGTTTGCACAACAGCATAAGCAACCACGTGAATTTCCAACAATGTTCTTGGCCTGAAGCAGATTCTAAGATGAGAAAAGCCCGGATTTGTCCTCTCCAGACACGGACTGAAGCCCCTTCCAGACCCAGGACACACGATTTCTCCTCTGCCTGGAGAGAAGCCAGGACACAGGTGGGAGCGGGGGGAGAGGGGTCAGAAGAAGGCGTCTCAGCGAGTTTCTGTGGTTTCCAGGGTTGGGTTTCAAACCCTTCCTGACTCTGCAGCGCTGCTCAGGTGGGTTTCAGAGCATCCCGCATCCCATGGCACTTGTGTTAGAGGAAGGCGGTCGCGGGCAGCTGGCCTGCGCCAGGCTGGGTGTCCAAGCAGTCCCTGCCGAGTCAAACACCTGCCTTTAGGGCTTCTGTCCCCTTCCATGTCACCACCGTGTGCCACGGCCCCAAGGTGCAGCTGCCCCAGTCCCCTCCCTGCCACGATCCCTCTTCAGCGACGGGCAGGAGCAGCTCTGCTCCTCCAGCATCCTCCCTCCCTGCGAAGGAGAAGAGCCACCCGACATCCTCTCCCAGTAGCACCCGAGACCGCTGTCCCCAACACCTCCTTGCAGCCCTGTGGCACTTCCATCCCAGAGCCCCAGAAGTGCTCCCAGCTCCTGTCCCCACACAGCAGCCCAACGGCATCATTCCAGGAGACCACAAGTGCCCAAGTGAATTGTTACGGAGAAATCTGAGCAATTACTTAGACACTACCAGTATCTTGAGGTATAAGTGAGATCAGATGCTTCACCCACAGATTCTTGCTTGCACACCAAGGGTCACACCTCCCCCAGCCGGGTGTTTTCCCATGGGCTATGCAGGTGAGAAGAAACAGGGTTTTTCCAGCATTCTCTGCAGGAATCGCTCACCGACAGCGGGGAGACGCCTGCCCTGCTCACCCACTGCGGCGGGTGCCAGATCTTGTCATCTCCTCTCAAGTCAGCGTCTTCAACACATTTGCCTCTTTGGTATTTAGAGCAAATCCCTGGAGAGCTCCTGCCTTAACAAACTATTTCCATGTGACAGGTTTGATGCTGTGGGGTTTGCTCTCCAAGCCAACCAGCCCTCCATTCCCACCACACCAGCGTCCACGGGGAGTGCAGGTCGTGCTGCTTCCGCTGCCAGGACAACATCAAAGCAGGATGAACATTTCCACCATCGAACACGAGTCCAGAAGCCCCAAAAGACCAGAAAAATGCAGATCCCCAGTTTCAATGAGCGACTCCAGCCTGCAGGGACGCGGCTGAGACGGTGCCGATTCTCCTTCTGTACGTTAGTGCAATCTGGAAAGGGGCTCCCAGCTCGGTGCGGGTGACTCCAGGGACTGCGACGCTGCCCTTTGGTTTGCTCCAGGATTAACATCAACAGGTTGTGTTCAGATAAACTAAGGTCTGTCCAGGATCTATACACGTAAGGCAAGAGGCGATTCCGTGGGGCGTGGGCTGCATTTGCTGATGCCAACCTTGACTGATGCTCAGGTTCTTTCAGGAGCCACAAAGCCACCCTGGTGAGCTTGCTCGGATGCTGGGATGAGGGTGGTGGAGGGAAAGCTGCACGGCAGCGCTGAGACAGCACTGCTGATGGCTTCGGCAGCACGCCAGGGACAGGAGAGTCACATACAGGATAGGGGGGGAAAATTTTAAAAAAATCCAAAAACACCCAAGAAAAGGGTTTGTCATTTCCCCCCCCAGCCTGTAGCTTCTCCACAGATGGGGCTAAACTGGGACTATAAACAACATTACAGAAAAGAAACTGGGAAGAAAGAGTAAACCCACTTCTACGGCTACAGCCCCCAAAGCCTTTAGATGAAGAGCAACACTCTGAAGAGAAAACACGGTTCCCACCGGCAGAACCCACTTGGTGAGCTCCCAGCTTCAGAGTGGCACAGGCCGGCTGGCACTGGGCTTTATGGGGCAGGAGATCCCCGGGGCAAGGCCAGGGCACCTGTGACAGACCCACAGCTCCCCGGAACGCCGCGCCGGGACGTACAGCCCACGGTCCTGCCAGCTCCCTCCCTGCTCTGCCACGCGGCCCAACTCCCAGCCTGGCTGCCGAGCCCCAGTCCAGGCAGTGAATCAGAGAACAGTGAGGTAAGGGGAAGGGAAAGATGAGGGAAAATTGGAGTCACCTCTTCCTCTGAGGGAGCAAAACACACTGGAGCAGGACACGAGGCCAGGCAGCTTCCAAAGGCTGCATTGCAAAGCAGCTCTCACCCACCGGGAACCCTCCGAGTCTGTCCCAAAGGACAACGG